CTGATTTTCAGCCAGCACCAGATTTCTTGAAGAAAACCGTTCCTTATTTCAAGGTTACCTTTTAGTTCACATCTTTTAATTAGAACATTCCATTTTAATTACGTAAATTTGCTTTCATCTCTGCATGTGTGTATGAGCATGTTTTCGTTTGTCTTCTCTTTGAAACATAATTTTGGTGTGCTTGCAGGCTGATCCTTTGTTATAATCATTTTCATTGGTTCAAGATAAAGCTAACTGCAAGTAGATTAGGATTAATCTTAGTTGAGCTGAGTAGTCGGCATGGGTTCAAGATGAGAAACACCATAGTGATTGAAAGTTAACATTGTAACAATTTGGTGGTTTGCAGTTGTAAGCAGTGCCTACTCAGTAGCTAATGTGCTCTTTGTTTACAATCTGGTTACGTAGATAAACCTTGTTGGCACATAATTGCCTTTCTGTTGCAAGAAGAACTAGTCCTTGCATTAATATTTTTTCCAGTGACATTTGACGCAGAATCTTGGATCTTCAATGAAATTTTTAACCCATGGTCATCCATGTATATGTATTGTTTCTTTGTTTGATTAAACCAGTAAGGAACCTAACATAGAAAACAACATGGACGCTACTAGAGATCAAACAGGGTTCTAATCTTGCATTTTCACTATTCCCTAGGGTTCAATTTTTCATATTGAGCACCACTTCTTGTGACAAATATACATAGATGAGTTTAATTATTGAATGGTCTAAGATTTGCATTTTAGTAATATTATTTGGCTTTTTAAATGCCTAACAGTTCAGCAGCTATATTATGCTTATCATAGTAATAGTAACATATCAATTGTCACATAACTAGTTCTGCAAAATCAAAACAATATTTTGGACACAAGGAAGGTCAATGCTTGCCCCCCTCCATAACGCCAAAGCTAGTTAGGGATTTCCTATTTTCTTGGTACGGGTTGAGTTTCTCTGTAAAATATATGTGTTTCCTTTCTATTTTTCTGTTTTGATTTGTTAATTTACCTATCATTTTCTATCTGATTGGCAATTGTCTTCCTGTCTTTTTTCTAGGGGAATGATGATCTAGCATTGGTTCAAACAAGGTGGGCGTTTGTAAACAAGGATGAGAACTTACTTACAAGGTTGCAGAACATAAATTTATCATTTCACTTTGAGGTTGAACAGCAGGTCAATAGTGTGTTTATCAACTTCTTTGGTTTCAATGGAACTGCTGGTGTGTGGAGAATTAAGGCCCTTGAGGAATGTGGTGGATGGTTGGAACGAACAACTGTTGAGGACATGGACATTGCTGTCCGTGCTCACCTTTGTGGATGGAAGTTTATATATCTGAATGATGTTAAGGTGTGTGAAATGTTATAATATGGAAATTTACTTCCCCACTTGAGAGAGAAAGGAAAGGTGAGCTAACTTTTATCCATCTGCAGTGCCTTTGTGAGCTTCCTGAGTCCTATGAGGCATACAAGAAACAGCAGCACCGCTGGCATTCAGGTCCTATGCAGTTGTTCCGCTTGTGCTTTGTTGATGTACTTCGCTCAAAGGTATGAAGTTTCTTACAACTGTTATATTACACATTCATGTTTTTCATCAAAATTGAACCATATGCGCATAAGAAAATTGTATCCCTCTAAAATACTTTCTTACAACAGTTATTTTTCAAAATTTTTATTAATTTTCTCATTTCTATGGACAATGCAATCATTTTGTTCAATCAGAAAGGAAGATATTGAGGCAAAATGCCCCATGGCTTAACCAATTTATCTGATGCTTTCCACACTGATAATTTTTTCCACTTCCGAAATCAGCATTCACTCTTTCTCTACCCTTTAGAAATGTATAATTTTCTATGATATCTCACTTTCACACTGAAAGAGTTTTAATATTTTTTTTTTTTAATTGGGGGAAGGGGGATTTGAACCCTACTCTCTAGGCAGAGGGAACATGCACCAACCAATGAGCCAAATGCTTAGATGCATCCTTTTGTTTATACTTTAATCCTATTTCCACCAATTTACATGTTCTTCTCCAAATGATATCTAGATATTAGTGTTGGAAAATCAATTCAAATACATAATGTGGACTGAAAGTGGAAAAAATTGATTGGGTGGTGGAGTTGTTGAAACACCTTTTTCTTTCATGTTTTTTGGACCTTAATTAGCTCAAACAATATGCTACTGCTGAAACGTGGAAGAATTGAAGTCTTTGATCGAAACATTAAGTATAGAACGGTATGAACTGCCAGCCTAAACAAGAATTCTGGAACAGCAAACAAATTGATTTCAAAATATCTTTTGCGAGAGAAAGCTTAATTAGGGTTTTGTCTTAGATTTCTTGGCTCTTCATCCCATATGAGTAAGACTGGGATGTTGAGAACTGCTTTCATTTGTTACTGTGCTAGCCCGTACTATCACATCTTTATTTATCATACTATTTCATAAATTTTAATGAATTTAGTAGGGGAAATTAGTGGATGTTGTGGTCACCAAACTTCAATCTTTCACAAACAGTGCTTGAATGACAAAATCTTCAGTGGAAATGGAGGAGGGTCAATTCAATTAACTTAGAAATTATGCCTCCTTTCAAACGTCAAAATGGAATTTTCAGAAATGAATTAAAGGCTATGAAGGTAGACAGAAACCCACATGGGCAACTAATCTGTCATTACATCAACCAATAGTCCAAGCTTTAGTCCTGTGGGGTTGCTCAAAATGTGGGTTGTTGAACTGCTTTAGAAAAGGGAAAACAAGACAAACAGTCTAAAGCTTTGCCCAACTCTTTTTAAAAAATAGAAACGGGACCGGTGATCAATTATGAATTAATAGACTAAGCAGCAGTAACAAGTTATTTGTTTGCCAGCAGGTTATTGCAGCCTAGTCCTGTTACTTATGATAGACATTTGAATGGTTGAACATGTCTAAACAAGACTTATGTATTAAATAAAGAATGATTTTTATTTTTTTTTAGTGAGGGTAGAGAGATTTGAACCTAACTTTTTGAGCAGAGGGAACATGCACTTACCATTGAGTCAAATGCTCAAGGGTAAGAATGAAACACTTTTAATTAAATTTGTTTTGATATGTTTGGGTTTATGGCAAAAGTTTCCTGGCATCATTTAGTTATAGAGTCCATTTTCCTGTAACCTTTTTTTATGAATATAAAGGTGTGAAGTTCTATTTGCTGCATTATATTTCATTCTTTCCTTATTCCAGGTAAGTATGGCCAAGAAAGCCAATTTGATATTTCTGTTCTTTCTCCTACGGAAGCTTATTCTGCCCTTTTACTCGTTCACCCTGTTCTGCATCATTCTACCATTGACAATGTTCCTGCCAGAAGCTCAGTTACCAGCTTGGGTTGTTTGCTATGTCCCTGGGATTATGTCGGTCTTGAATATCCTTCCAGCACCACGATCATTCCCGTTCATAGTCCCGTACCTTCTATTTGAAAACACCATGTCGGTGACAAAGTTCAATGCCATGATATCAGGGCTGTTTCGTTTTGGAAGTTCTTATGAGTGGATAGTTACGAAAAAGTTGGGGAGATCATCAGAGGCTGATCTTGTTGCCTATGAGAAGGAATCAGATACATTAGTTGAAGCTACTAGTTTACTGAGGTCCTCCTCAGATTCTGGCCTTGAAGAGCTTAGCAAACTAGAAGTAACCAAGAAAAGTGTGAAATCCAAGAGGAATCGTCTGTATAGGAAAGAACTTGCCCTTGCATTTATCTTGTTAACTGCCTCTGTGAGAAGCTTGTTGTCGGCCCAGGGAATCCACTTCTACTTCCTATTATTTCAAGGAGTTAGTTTCCTAGTAGTAGGTCTTGATTTGATTGGAGAACAGGTGAGTTGAGCTGCTGATGCTAAAGAGTTGTTTGCTTCCCAGGAGGAGTTTCCCTGAAATACAGGCCACATTGACACAGCCTTTAATCAATAGCTTTGCGCATAATAGCCTCCACGGATCATAAAAGCGATATGCTGTTAATGGTTCTGGAATGAAGCAGTTGATTCATTTGTGCATGGCAAATGTTTCTGGTCTATTTATGTACTTAATGGACTGGCATACCATATTGGTTGCCAAGCAACATGCCATTGGTTAATATAAACTTGTACCAAAAGGTTTTGAAGATAGAAAAGAGAAGCTTCAAAACAAAGGGTGGGAGGATGGAATTTCGCATCCAGCAGATTTGTTTTGTGTAATGCATTGTACACTAGCTTGCCATTGACAGGTGAGTGAGGCAAGCGTCATTGCTGTCATTCTTTAATTTTGTTAGCCAGATTTGTGTACCAAGTACGATTACAGTATTAATCAGTTTTGAGATTTAATTGATGTTGTTCCATTCTAATCAATCCAAAGTCACTAATTAGGATATACCTAGCTTTGTAATTTCCTCACAACCCCTAAATAGGATTATAGATATGATTAAGAGAAAACCAAGATATTAGTGGTTTTTCTTTTTCTTTTTCTTATCTTCAAACAAACAGACAATGACCTCGACCTCCAGGGAATGAGGTCCAGCTGTAGATTTCATTGGACCCTTTGACATACTATGCTCACATTCCCTATAGCAATAATTGTGCCACCCCTCACCCCTCCATGCAATTTACGTATATTAAACATCTATCATCCCATCCTCTCTGATTTTTTTTTCTATCTATTTTGTCCCTACAACTCCCAATTAATAATTCTAAGTATGACAGTTTGCCTATCAACTTATAAATTTATCAAACCATCCCTCTACTTTGTATATATTCTCATTTCTTTCCTCTTCTGTATATTGTAATAACCATCATTTTCATTCCAAATAGTTTTTATTTTAAACAAAAAAAGGAAGTTCTCCTGTTCACACTCAAATATGCAATCAATTTCACTTTCCAATTTAATCTCAGGTGTTCGCGACTTGAAATCCATGTCATTTCAACCCCAGTTTAAGCACAATAGTAAGTAGTAAATAAGACGCTGGCAGGTAAACAGTTCTAAGTGTACTATTATCAAATTCTGGAGAAGGGAGGGTACCGACAATGACAATAATTTTAACTTTTGATTAAAAAAAACCAGAACAATTTTAACAGATATTGAGAAAGTAAAATGTTCACATTAAAATGTATCATATCTTAAACGGTAGCCATAAAGGAACAAAATCACATTGGTGAGAGTAGGACATGTGAAGTACTGCATCTAAGCAGCTCCAGCACCCTTGCCCTTCTTCCTCTGGATTTTCTTCGTATAGAACTCCAGCTCTTTACCCTCCAATATGTATCTAATAATATACAAATTGAATAAGAAGCTAATATAATAAAACTGCATTAAAATGATAGAAATAATTACAAAGAGTTTAAGATCTGCCCAACTTACCCATCAGCCCTGCCACACTGACCTGGCCGCGAAGAAATGCATGCCAACAACCTACCAGCACCAAATTGTTCTTCAATGTGAGCATCAAGTTTACGATCTTTCTGGCGCTTCTCAAGCTTCCTAGCGACACGGTTGCTCTTCTTAGTTTCCTCAGCAACACCTTCTCCATCCTGCCAGTTTTATGATGCAGAGAACAACCAAAGTCCGCTCAAAATCAGAAACAAGAAGAACATAAACTGAAGATGCTTAGTCACACAAGCAAGCACCCTAAAAGGTTAGACTATCAATTCTCTCCATACTCTAAATTAAAAATGGCAATCTTTCCATATAAGTTTCTCAAAAGGCATAGTTAGAGCAAAAATTATGCATGGGACTCTTAAATGCTAAGATAATCCTTTTGCTGTAGTACATACACTTCGCAAGAAGACAAAGCTAAAAGAGACAAACATTTCTATCAAAGCATGACAAAAAATTATACTAAAACAATCTCATACAGGTGATTATCAATTTGGAAAGTTAACTGCAACCTTGTAACGAATTTCAAAAAGGAAAAGCAATGATGAAAAACTTTCTACCTCAGTAGCTTCCTTCTTAGCTGCCATCTTCTTCTTCCTCCCAATGTCAACACCGTAGTGCTGAAGGTACCATTGCTTAAAGGGCGCTGCATCCACTTGAACAATGGCACTCTTTACAAGAGTCTGTGTCCTGACAAGCTCATTGTTTGAGGCATTATATACCACATCAAGAATACGGGTCTTACGTGTGACAGCCTCACTACCCCATGAATAGTTGCCGGTATCCAATCTCAATGCTCTCCACTTCACATTCCCTCCTCTAACACGAATTCTCCTTACAGTCTTGTTGCTTGAGAGCTTAGTATTTGCAGGCTGACGACCGAGTTCATACCTTACAAGAGCAGCCAAATTCATGAGATTAGAAACTTAATTGGTAATCAGTAAACCAACAGGCTGAAAATTGGACATTGTTTACTCTAAAAAGAGTTCATCCCCAAATCACTCCCTAAGAACCTAAAACAACAGACATCTTGGTTCTCAGATCTACACAAAAAAATTTCAAACATTAATCCCATAATGACAATAGCAACATCCAACCCAAGCACATCAATCTGCCATCTATTAAAATATACCTACATTGATTTACAAGTCCAATGCTATATATTGATGGCGAGTCTGGGGGGTTTCCCATCCACATAGCATCAGAAAACATCAAATGCCATTTAACACTGTGGGGCCGATCTTAGGTTCAAATCTTAAGCGGCAAAATCAATCACGTTTCCTAGGCAAGACTTGAACCTAAGGCCTAATCCAATCCTACCTCTTATAGAAAGGGCAAGCAACCATGCCATGCTAACTTTAACATTTAGAATTAAATCTCACAAATTAGCTTCTACGACCAATACGTGAATGCCCAAATATACCTTTATTGACAACACGAAGCAAAACTACCCTGTATGCTTCTAGTTGGAATGTCTTAAATTCGAATCTTATTTAGCAAATGCAGTTTATACTAGCTAGAAAAGAGTTGAACGTAAAATTTCCATTCCATATTCCTTCTCAATAAGAGAACCCCACTCAATTTCTAACACTCATGGTCAACAATTTTTGAATAGAATGATTCCCCTAAAATAAAATAAAATAAATTTTGTTTAGCCTTCAGTATCCATACGAACCTATGAATATTTCATCCATCTTATCCCATTTGGACATAGTTTAAGACAAGGGAATTCTAACCGTAATTCATTAGCGAATTCATGCAAAAAAAAAAAAGTAAACAAATGGAGCACAAAACCAGCCGAATTTGTAAAGCAATGAGGAGAAAGAAAAAGGGGAGAAGGGAAAATGGGGAATTACTTTCGCTTCTTCCTCCAAGCCTTCTTCTTGCCACCAGTGGCACGCCTCTTGTGCATGGAATCCCTGGAAATACCTGAAATAAAGATAGAAAAAACCACATATTTGAGAGATAAGAGCAGGAGAAAATCGAAGAGACGAAAAGATAAAAAGCGAGCTATGAGTGTTGTGTTTGGATGGTGAGAAAGTGGAGGTAAAGATCGAAGTGAGAACGTACCCATGTTGGCTGAGCGGCGCAAGTGACAGACTCAGTTGCGCTCCTTCGGTTACACACTCACAGCACCGGCTAAAACCCTACCTCTGTCCTATTTATATGCTGGCTTTTCGGTAAGTTGGAACCCTAAACAAACGATGGTATAATAGTCCGTCTCTATCTTATTTTTATTTTTTAAAAAAATAAGTTGACATTCTACTCCAATAATCTACTAAACTATTAAAAAACTTTAAATAAATTCTTATTACAGTCAATCAATAATTAATAATTAATTAATTAATTATCATTAGTTAAAATACTATTTATCATTTTATATTTACGTAATATTAATGTGAAAAATAAAAAAAATCACATATATATTATTATTTTAAATTAACATGTCATGTTATCATCAATTATTATATATTAATATATTATATTATTATTAATTATAATATATTAACATGTTACGTTAGCACTACACAGTATAGAATGATAAATAATATTTTGATTAAGTTAATTATTAATCATAAGTGCTTATTTGATTCAAAATAAAAATATAAACACTTTTTTGATTCAAAATAAAAATATAATAGTTTAATTAAATGTAATAAAAATATAAAATCTTATTTAAATTATCTTGAATAGTTTTAACACTTTTTTTCAGATATTATGCCAAAACACTGTTGTTGTTTTTTTCCTTTTTATTAAAATATTAAAAAGTTTTAAGTTAAAATAACAAAAAAATCCTTCAACTAAATGCATATCATTTTGCAATTAAGCTTGGACTCATTTGATTTTTTTTATTTGAATCTAATTAACTCCCTATTCTTATTTTTTTATGAAATTGAACTCTTATCTTGCAATGAAAATATAACATTATTAATATACATTAGTTTCAATAATAATTGCCATTTGTTACATACATGAAATTTGACACGATATGTTAATAAGACACAATATTTGTGATATGACGTGCTACGACAATAATTACAACAAAAATTAATAGATATAACTTTATTAACATACATTATTCTCAATAATAACTGTCATTTGTTGTATATATGAAAATTGATGTAACATGTTAATTAGACACAATATTTGTGATATAACGTACCACGGTAAAAGACACAATAAAGATTAATGATGTTATGCAGCAAGTCAATCACTTTTGTTACATATTCTACGTATGCATAAGATAACAATTGTTAATCAAAATAATATGTTATATTTTCATTACGAGATTAAAGCTCTAAAAATAACACTCCATTATATATATATAAAGAAAAATGATTTAATTGAGTATGATAAAAATATAAAAAATTCAATTACAAATATATATATATAGAGAGAGAGAGAGTTACAGAGCTTTTTGTTATTTAAGCCAAAGTTATTATTATAAAAATATAATATTACTACTAGTAGATATGTATTTTCTTTGTCCGTCAGATATCGTCTTCCATTGTCAAACCTTTTTATTATTGTGACTAATAAGAGAGTATAAATTAATTAAAGGTGTTTGTGTGTGCGAGAAGTTGTATTAGATTCGAATCAAATTTATCCATCTTCTCTTTCTCTTTTAAAGTTAAAGTTTAAATTTGATTTGATTTGTTCATTTAATTATTATTATTATATTAATAAATTATTATATATCAATATATTAGCATTAAAATCAAAATTTAATAAAAATAATGATATTGTTATGAAATAAATCTTAAAATAATAACTATAAAAGAAATATAAGAGAAAGTATTTAAAAAGAGTAAGAAAATCTTATTTAAATTTATAATTACAAACGAACTGAAGGGGTCTATTTATAAATAAATAGCCTCTTATCTCGATAGAATTTACTAGATGAAGATAATACTAAGAGATTAGATGGATGGATTAAATCCTAAGGTTGATTTAATCTAATTTACATCCAAAACTAAATATAGATAATACAAATGGATATTCACAAAATATTCGTAGCACTTCTCCTTGAATATCCATTATATTAAGAATATACCTCATTAAAAACCTTACAATAAAAAAATCTTATTAAAAAAATCTTATTAAAAAAATTCAAGTGAAGGAAAAAGAGTATATAATTCTTTTTAAGAATACGCTTTTGAAATATTGTCTCATTAAAAACCTCATCAAGAAAAACCTTGATGAAAAAAAAAGAGTACAGTATGTTTTTTACCCTCTTTGATAACTGCATTATAGAGATCCTTAAAATGATGCATTCCAATATTTTATACTAACTTTTCAAATGTTGCAATAAGAATGACTTCGATGAACAAATCTGCTAGATTGTCACTTGATTAAATTTGTTGAACACTAATAGTACTTTTTTCTTAGAGATCATAAATGAAGAAGAGTTTTGACGGAGCATGTTTTATCTTATCTCCTTTAATGTATTCTTCCTTTAATTGTGCTATGCAAATAGTATTATTATTCTCATATAACATTGTTGAAATTTCCTTCTTAATTGACAAGCCACATATTTTTTAAATATGTTGAGTTACAGATCTCAACCAGACACATTCACAACTTGTCTCATAAATTGTTAAAATCTCTATCTGGTTAGAAATAGTCTTTTTTTACATCTAATGACCTTACAACTATTGGTGAACTTAATAGATATGCTTTATCCATATAAAATCGCTTTAGCACTACTATATAATTAGATCGATGGACAAAAATTTTATTTGTCAAGTGCTCAATCTAAAAGCTTAAACAAAACTTTGTTTTTCTAAGGTCATTCATCTCAAATTCTTTCTTTAAGAAATCTACGATTTTTGATAACTCTTCAAGAGTTTCAATATAAACAACAATTACGATAAATTCATATATAAATCCTTTTATAAAATACATGAGCATATATGATTATTTCTATAGCCTTCTTTCAACAAATATTCATTAAGGCGATTCTACCATATGTATATAGATTGTTTTAATCTATATAAAGATTTATTTAATTTGATTAAATAAATTTTTTTAGAATTCAAATTTTGTGCTTCAAGCAACTTAAATCTTTCAAGGATTTTCATATAGATATCGTTATCAAATGAGCCATATAAATAGGCTGTAACTACATTCATTAGAAGCATTTTAATTTTCTCATTTATTGCCAGACTAATTAATATAGAATTATAACTGCATCCACCATAAAAAATATATCACTTTATATTCAATACTAGATCTTTGGGTAAAATCTTGTGCGACAAACCGTGCTTTATATCTTATAATCTCATTTTTCTCATTTCGTTTTTGCATAAATACTCATTTATATCCCATTGGTTTTACACTATTTGATGTATAGATTATAGGTCCAAAAACTTTATGTTTTGCAAATAAATTCAATTTCTCCTTAATTGCATCTTTCCACATTGGCAAATAATTTTTATGTCTACATTCTTTAATAAATATAAGTTCAGGATCTTCATTTTTATTTTGTAATATTAAGCGCTATATTATATACAAAAATATTGTCAACTTTTATTTCATTCTAGTTCTATCTTTTTCCATCATGACATAATTGATTGAGATCTCTTCATTGTCAATGATTTCAAGTACTTGAATTTCTTCTAAAATTTTTATCAATTATGCCAAAGGTCTCTTCTAAAATTTTTACTTTCTGTTTTTTACTATCTTGAATATTTACTCTTTTTCTTTTTCGAGGATTTTATATTTAAAACTGATTGGTCTCCACGCTTCTGGTGTGTCTTGTCCTACAGAGACATCAATGCTAATAGGAACGTTTGCAGCTAGTATATAAAATTAGTTATTCTCTTTAGGTCAGTAAATACGTATGGCAACTGATGTACTATATTTTACAAAAGAATTATCTTTCAAACTTCAAGTTCATATTGATTTGTGCCAGATTCAAAACTAGATAATGATAATTCATTCTAAGAAATTTTTTTTCTAGATGTTTATTTTTTCCCTCGAATGTTGGCAAAATTGTTTCTTCAATGTGACAATGGACAAACTGTGCCATGTCTCGTTAATGGTTCTAGATATTTAATTATAGATGAAGATTTATATCTAACATATATTCCTAATCTCCTTTGAAGATCCGTCTTTGTGCGATATGGTGGAATAATTTGAACATATACCCCACATCTAAAAATTCTTAGATGAAAAATATTTAGTTCCTAACCATAAACCAATTGTATAAAAGAGAATTTATGATAACTTATTAGCTTGATGCATACAAGCACTGCTACATGCAAAATGGCATGTTCTCATGTAGAAATTGAGAGTTTAGATTGCATAAGTAATGGCCTTGCAATCGGTTGGAAGTGTTTAATAAACAATTTTGCTCGACCGTTTTGTGTATAAACATAAGCAATAGGTTCTTCAACAGTTATTCCAACTAATATGCAATATTAAATGCTTAAGATATAAATTCATCAGTATTGTCAAGACAAATTGTCTTGATTATATAATTAGAAAAATGTGCTTCCAAACAAATGATTTGTGCAATCAATCTTGCAAATGTCAAATTGTAAGTTGATACTAAGTACATATTGACCATTTAGTCGATGCATCGATTAAAACAGTAAAATATCTAAATAGTTTACATGGTAGATGTATGAATCCACATATAACCTTGAATATGTTTCAAAAATGTAGAAACTTCAATCTCAACTTTAGCTGGTGATAGTCTTATAATTTATTTACCTTGAAAGCAAGTAGTACATAAGTATTTCATTAGATTGAAAAATTTCCTGATTTTTCAATGTATGATTATATTAATTTTTAATAAATTTTTTGTATCATTATTAATCCAGGATGGTTCAACCGGTTATGCCAAACATTAAAATTATTAGTAAACTATTGGTTTACTATGAGTTTCTATTATTCTAATATTTGTGTAGTTTAATCTAGAGAACAAAACGTGTAATTTTTTTTTCAACACATAGCTCTTACTTGAGATATTAGATGTAATATAGAGGTATTAAGTATCTCTTTCATTTATTGTCTCAATATAATATCTATTTAGACAAATATATTTAAAAATTAATAAACTTCTTTGATACTTGAAAAAAATAATATATTCTCTATTATAAACTTTATTCCTCAAGGTAGCAAAATATTAGCTCCTTCGGAGCCTTT